TATTATTAGTAGTAGTAGTAGTAGTAGTACTAATAATAATAATAATAATAATAATAATAATAATAATAAAAAAAAAAGAGAAAAAGAAGATGATGAGAACTTGGAATGGAATATTAATGTAAGGATTAAACAATGATAATAACAAATGTCAAGGTTAGAGGTTCCACTAATAGTATTTCAAACAAGTATAGTGTAAACTCTTATTACTCAAATGGAAACCACACACAAAGGAGGTTCCAATTAGATTATAAATTTTTAACATGATTACATTAGTCATCTTATTCAATTAATGCTAATACTTGTAAATCTCGTCAAGCATTCATGAGTATAACTTATGTTAACAACAAATCAAGTTCCTTTCATAGCTCAGGTGTCGGTTATACCATACATTATGGGCTATGAAAGTGCCAAGCATTTGTTGTACCAAATGTTATACAACATAAATCAAGATTAATCATTTAACAAGCAAAGTATTAAAGAGTGAACAAGATAACAAATACAAAACATGTTAGTATCAAACATTAAAGTCCATATTAAGTTTACATTATACTTATTCTCACACCATTAGTGTAACCTTTTCACCTTGACATAACTAACTTAGCTAGACATAATGAAAGAAAGCAAAATAGATAAACAAAATAAGAACATAAAAGTTAACTAAGTAAAGGAAAGGAAATGAAAGGCATAAACTTAATATTAATGAAAACAAAGCATAAAAAATACAAAGAGAGAAAGGAAGAGAATGATCTTGATCTGGAAACCAAGATGCCTAAATGCATGGCAAATGCCTCCTTTTATAGGCCAAAAATGGGAACTATTGATTTGATGACTAATTGATAAGTGGGTGGCCAACTTTTGACTTGGTGACAATCCTTATCTTCTCTTGTCTGCCCAAAACGTCATTGATAACGTCAAAACTGGAGCCAGTTGCAAACATGAAAGTTGTAGGCAATTGTCTCAGCTTTCTTGTGTAAAAAATTCAGCTCATTTGGACTTCTAGAACTCCAGATATGGCCAAAATACCGAACAGTGCTCGGGCTGCGGATCACGGGTCAAGTTGGCCACTGACTCAAGTTTAAGTAATGATAAAAATTGTTATTATTATAGTTTCAAAACTTGATTCATGAGTGAACTCAAGGCCAAAGCATAGGGCATGGTTCAGTTTGACCATTGATTGGGGTTAGACTCGAGTCTTAGTAATGATAAAATTATTATTATCATAATTTAAAAATATGACTTGGGGGTCGACTTGAGACCAAAACATAGGTCAGGTTGACCATTGGCTTGTGTCAAAGTAAAGATAACATTGATCATTATCATAATTTTTAAACTCAAACTCAAGGGTTAACTTGGGTCTAATCTTGAGTTGTATATTGGGTTGACCATTAACCCAGGTTAACGTTAGGAAAAAATTATTATCATCGTAGTTTTAAAACCAAAAATAGTAATCAATTCGAGGCTAAACCTAATTAATTAAGCCCGATTACGAGTTGGGTTGATCATTGACCCATGCCAACATAAAAATAAAAGTGATTATTATTATGATTTTAAGACCTAACTAAAAGGTCGACTAGGAGCAAAATCCAAGTCAGGGATCAAGATGGTTAGCTTGGGTTAACCCAAAATAATGTAAGAATAAAAATTATTATCATCATAGTTTTAAAAACTGATTTGGGGGTTGACTCCAGGTAAAGCTCGAGTCACTAGTCGGGAGGATTAATTTGAATTAACCCAATTTTTAAAAAAATTAAAATAACCTTATTTTGACCAAAAGATATATATTAAAAAGTTAATGGATTTTTTACTTATGTTTTATCTCAGGTTAACCAAGTTATAGGTTAACCAAGTTATAGGTTAATTTCAGTTTTTGATTAGACCAAATAGGTTAATCTTTTTTTAAAACCTGAACTAGTCCAAATCTTGTACTGATGAATTCCTATTTAATGTATACCAAACATAAAAATAAAATAAATTGTCTAGTTCTATCCAAAACACACCGAGCACAATACACAAGCATTATTTGTTCAATTCAGTTTTTATCTCATTTTAATCCTTAAAAATTTATATTTTACATTTTAATCCCTTAACTTAATCTCCATCATGTTTTACTCCTTAAATTATGAGACATGAAAGAAAAAAAAGTCTAAAAAACAAGAGAAAGCTTTTAGACAGCCACATTCCAGAAAACAAATAAATTCGACATATAATTCTTTATCCATAAAACATTTAACGCAAAATAAATAAATTCTGTTTGTTTGTACAATCAAAGTTTGCTGAATCCAACAGAGCGAGTCACACTAATCCTTGTCCCCGGATTCGCTTAGCCTGATAGCCAATCGCCCACTCTTTCATTTCTTAGCTGTATCTTTTTTTTAAAAAAAAAACGACAGCTCGCCGTAAACGCCGCCAAAGCAGAGCCACGTAGGAAAGGGATACCACAGAAGCGAAAGTCTGGAATCCAAACCTATAGGTTCGGATTTCACAGCTGGAGACAGGCTGTCTCCAACAAAGCCCCACTTAACTACATGGTCTGTCTTCCCTCTGGTCTCTCCCTACCTTTCTCTGTCTCTCTCTCTTTCTCTGTCTCTCTCGCTTGTTTCGTGTTTTAAGTTAGGGTTTTCTTGATCTCGTTTAGTGGCTTTAGGAATCTCCATTTCTCCTCACCAGATCAAGTTTCTCTGATTTGTAAGCTCTCGATTGATCTCTATTTTTCTCATTTTCGTTATCGTTTTTATCTGTTTGGATTTTTTCTTGTTTGTGGATGAGATTTGTTTATATTTATCTTTTCTTTTTACTTAGTGCATGTTGATTTGGAAATGCCGATTATCGTATGAGGATTTTTTTAGTGTTTTTTTTTTAAAAACTTTTGTGCATGTTTTATGTTTGGTTGCTGAGAAAGAGAAAGAAAATAGAAGGAAATGAAAACGAAAAATCTGATCATGCTTTTCTTTTTTGAAATTGGAGAGCAGAAAATTTTACCGAGGTTAATGTTTTTGCGATCTATATAATGTGGAATATTGAGATTTAAATTTGTTTATGTATTTTCCGAAGAGCAATTAATGAGGCTGGAACTTTTTTTTTTTTTAACAAGAACATGCGCGGTTGTGTGTATTATTCACAATGCAGCCTGATGATAGATGGGTTAATTATCAATTATTTACTACATGCCAATGTTGTTCTTACTTGGCAATGGTATTTTTTTGGCTTTTGGTGGTGTATAGCTGTTTAATGTTTTTCTTTGGGAATTCTTATGTTGATTTACGAATGTAACTGTTATAATGCGTGATGCCAAATTCGGATGAATCTAATCATTTTGGCTGCTCTTGAATGTTATGGAAAGTATGATACATGTGATTTTGTCCGAGTCCTTGTAAAATGTGGCCCTTGTATAGGCTTAAATTTGGGCAAGATATGTTCATTGCAACTCGTCAAATATGTGATTGGTTGATAAGCAGTCTTGTTTTTTGCAACATGACTCGCTTTCTTGCTGGCTTACGTTCAATTATGAGCTTCTCCATATGTTGTTTTCTTTTTTAAAAAGCCTCCAAGGCTTTTAATTTTGTTTGATGCTTCATTGTCTTAATAAAGCCTTTCTGAGCTTGGTACTTGAAGAATTTGGGCATTGATATATAATTGACAAGTACGATTGAAATTTGACTCTTTTTCTGAGTATTTCAACTTTCATGCTATAGGGGACGGGGCTGGATAGCTCGAGCCAGACAGAAAATATTATTTGAAGTATTGATTTGGCGTGTTAGCTTGGAATTGGCTAATGTCTGTCTTCATACATTGGCTTTGTCATCATCACTGGAGTGCATAGTGATGGTTAATTGCTCTGAGTGAACTGCTGGTTTGGTTTTTAACAAGCTAATTCCAGTATTATTTTTGGAACTGCCAATAAAAATTAATCCTCGGAAGGAAGTGAATACACGACCAGAGGAGGATTCCTTGTATCCATGCTGGTAGAGAGCATGCGTGGAATTCGTGCTTCGGGTAATGCCCCTGACGAGTGCTGCTGCCGATGCATTCGGTGTGGTGACAATTTGTCTAGTCACTATTTTGATTCTATTTGGTTTGTTGTGCATTGCCTACTCATTTTACTTGCACTCTCGTGTTCGTAGTCAAGGCTATTTTCAACTCGGTTATTTTAGTGGTCCCTGGATCATCCGAATCATATTTATTTTGTTTGTAATCTGGTGGGGTGTTGGTGAAATTATCCGGTTAAGTTTGTTGAGACGGAAGGGAAGAGTGTTGAATGCCCTTGACTACAAATGGCAGGAAACTGTCTGCAAAGGCTACATTGTCTCGAATTTGGGTTTTGCAGAGCCTTGTTTATTACTCACCCTCATGTTTCTCCTCCGGGCTCCCTTACAGAAGATGGAATCAGGAATTCTTTGTCGCAAGTGGAATGGAAGAACTGCTGTGTATGTTGTTCTCTATTGCCTTCCAATGTTTGTCCTTCAGTTGCTTGCTATACTAATCGGACCGCAACTACGCAAGGATAAGAGTATATCGAAAAGGTTTCCTCATTATTTTACCTCTGCTGCTCATGGGATGCAAAATGCTGCCGCCTCTAATATTGCGCTTTGCACTTACCCTTTATTGAATACAATGCTTCTTGGTTTTTTTGCTTCTGCACTGACTGTCTACCTGTTTTGGCTTGGAAGGCGGATTTTGAAATTGGTCATCAATAAGGGTTTGCAGAAGAGAGTGTACACATTAATATTCTCAGTTTCAAGTTTCCTTCCATTGAGGATTCTCTTACTTGGACTATCTGTTTTATCTAAGCCAGAGCATTTTCTATTTGAAGCTATTGCTTTCTCATCGTTTCTTGCCCTCTCATGCTGTGCTGGGGTGTGTATTTGCATGCTTGTTTACTATCCCGTTGCTGATTCTTTAGCACTGGGGAATCTTCGGGACCTGGAGGTAAGTAGAAGATATGCTGATGAGCACAATGAAACCATTTCCCTTGATGCAAACCAAAGCCATCTAGAAGAAAGTGCTCATTTAAGCCCAGGCAGAAACTCTGACGCCTCAGCTAAGCGAGGATCAATCTCTTTCAGGGCTTGCCAAAGAGATGAGACTCCTTCAGGGCCATTTGTGGAGCTGAGCCTTTTTTCTCCTGGTCGAGATGCAACTCCACCAGGTTCGCCTCCGCTGCTAGGCTGGCCTATGCGCCCACTTGTGGATCCGAAGACTGGGCAAGGAACCGAGTTCTCTTGGTGAATATCAATTTTGTGATAAAGAAAAAACTGATTGTAAAGGGTTAGTTCCAATAAGGATTTTTATTCTTGGTTTGTTGTCTATTTTTTAGATTTTGCTGGTTTTTGATTCCATGATCTGCTGCTTCCTTTTCTTCTCCCTTTCTGTAACATTCTTAATCCTGATTTCTATTTGCCCCTTCTTCCGAGCCTCTTGAATGAAAGCAAGGTGCTTGCTTTTCCTATTGCTCGATGATGTGATTATAATTTTCGATCCACAGGTTCTACGGTAGATTTGGATCAATGTGAGGGAAGACTTTATTCTTTATTTAAGTTGTGATCGTTATTTATTAATTTATTTAGAAGGTAGCAGTGGTATTGGTTGGAGGTGAAGGGGGTGTTAGGCAGTGTGTATATATATATATATATATATATATATTTTGAAAGCTTATTAAGGTAACGTTTTTTTATTTTATTTTAGATATTTATATATTAAAATGATTCAAAAATATTTTAAAAATTAATTTAAAATAAAAAAAATTAATTTTGAAGAAAACAGGAACAACGTCAACGGACTAAGGAAAAAAAAGAAGAGACTAAATGGGGCGTCTGCAATTCACTATACGAACTTTATAATAATTTAACCTTAAGAAAATCAAATATCTTAGGTTGTGCTGTACAAGGTTTTAAAATATTATTGTCATTGCGTTAGAGCCTAAATGGGGCGTCTACTCATCTTTCTCACTCGCTCACACTCGTCACTTGTGAATAAGGCGCAAGCATGCTGTCGATGTCTTTGGGCCAGTTCGTTCTTGCAAAATACCATCTATTTCCATCAACTGGAGAATCTTGGAGAAGGCAATGCAGCTTCAGAGCTCAAATATAGTATTTTTGAAGTTTGATGTAAACGTCATTACTGGGTTCTTGTAGCGGGAAGTGAACTATGCACAGGTTGTTTCTTGATTCCACTTCGATTTTCAGGGGAAATCACCGATGTTTTACTCCTGTTGGGGCTGTGGTATCGGGTGCAGATCAATTGCTGGAGTATTGTTGTGATGAACTTTGTCTACTACACAAATTAACTGCAGAAAATGTCCAAGTATTTTCCTTTCGATTCGAAGACTTCGCCTTGATGACTACGAGTGCTAACGAAGATTGAGAATTGAAGGCATGGTCAGATACTGGATTGGTGTTGCTGGCAAGTTCAAGATTTCCTGGTGGTTGATGATTTTAGTAATCTATTGCTTTCATAGCTTCTGTGGACAGACAAGAGTGGAAGCATATGGTGCCAAAACCAGAGCAATTTTTTACGATGCTTTGAGTGGAAGCATATGGTGGCAAAACCAGAGCAATTTTTTACGATGCTTTTGAAAGAGATGATCAGCTAACAGTGGAATATTATACATGCTGCTCTGCTGTTGCGTTTTCTAGAGAGCTAACTGGATTTTTTAGCTATTTTAAGCTAAAATTTAGTTATAAAATAAAGAGCATGGACGCTCTTAACATTCCTTTTGTTTCATTGCCTGTCTTGTAAAAAAAAAAAAAATCTAAAAACAGAAGTGAAGATAGAAATAACAGCACAACAGCCTGTCTAAACTCAAGTTATTTCTGATTTTCGAAGGTTATTAATCAGATCCGAAATATGCTCTATATGTTTGTCGCACAATTACTATAAAAAGTAAAAATTTATCTATTTTGAAAAAAAAAGCTTCCATGCTTTTGAATACTTTTCTAAAGAAAATAATAAATAAATAAATATTTTTCTGTGCATGGCTCATTTCATCAATCTGTCTACCTGATTGGTGATCTGGGTTCTTGTTGAAATGTCCAAATAGTTTGTTTTTTTTTCTCGTTGATCTTTTGATTTAGAAAATGTCCAAATAGTTTGTTTTTTTTTTTTCTCGTTGATCTTTTGATTTAGGGATTTGACTGGTTGTTCTGAATTCCTTTTTTCAAAATCTTATCCTGGGGGATTTACCATTGAGTCATTGTGTTTCCCATTGGTTTCCTTTGATTTGGGGATGTGGGTTCCTCTTCTTGCGTTGAATTTGATATTAAAACTGAAGACTTTTTGATTTTCAAGGACTGCATTGATTGATTAGAGGCAGAGTATCGGGGAAAGAAGCCATTTTGATTCATGGGTTAAGATATCTGGGGCTTCATGCTACAAAGGATTGGAGCCAATAAAACCATTCACACTGTTGAGAATTGTGGATTGGGATCATGGGCTGCATTTGCTCGAAAGTCAGTAGAGCCACTAAATATTTAGAGAGAAGAGTCAAAAGAAAAGAAACAACCAAGCCTGCCAAACGGTTAGTTTCTTTATCCAAAAGCGATGAAGTTGTGGTAGAGGTTGATGGTAATGCTAATGGTTCCACGGCTAGTTTGATATCTGACCAACCTGGAAATGATAATGCGGAGTCTACTCCAGTTTCATACGATGAAGGAGAAAAGAAGGAAAAAATCGAACAGGTTAATAATCATCAAAGGATTACTAGTATAGTGAGTATGAGCAATGGAGAGAGAGGAGCACAAGTTGTTGCTGGTTGGCCTTCTTGGCTGACCTCTGTGGCTGGAGAAGCAATCAATGGATGGGTGCCTCGAAGGGCAGATTCATTTGAGAAGTTGGATAAGGTCAGTTTGGTGTATGTCTCTATGATTTGGTTGTTTTTGTATGGTTCATTGATAATGCGAGTGATTTGTCGAAAAAAGTTGGGTTTTCACCCCTTTTAATGTACTTGTATGAACTTACTTCATTGCAGCTGTCTTTTCCTGGTGCATGGGTTTTTCGATGCCTCAGGTTTAAGCTTTGGCATTGGTCATTGTTTCAAAAGTTGGATGCTGTCTTCGTAGACTTTTGTTCCGTGATTTCTACCCATGAGTACTTTGATACTCTTGTAAGAATAAATTATTTATTCACCCCTAAAAGTTTTTGAACTATGGCAAAAATGATGAAGCACGATAGTCTGGGGGATGGAGGTTCTGTTATGTTACTGTAGGAAATGAGTCATGTCTCTAGAAGAATGGCCTCTTCCCTGAAGAATGCGTTCTTCTATGTTCTTAAATAAGCACTCCTCTCTCAGATTTGTTTGTTTCAATCAGTTTGAAACTGAAAGTTCCTCAGCAACTTGGCATGATTTTTATTTGATATGCAATGCTTGTTTTCTGAGCAACCACCATATTTCCATTAAATGTTGTCCGCTCTTCGGTTTACTGCCCAATTCTTTACCCAGTTAGTTAACTTTCCCGCAAATAATGCAGATTGGACAAGGAACATATAGCAGTGTGTACAAAGCTCGTGATCTTGAAACAAACAAGACAGTGGCATTGAAGAAGGTTTGCTTTGCTAATATGGATCCTGAGAGTGTTCGTTTTATGGCGAGAGAAATCATCATTTTGCGTAGACTTGATCACCCAAATGTTATGAAGCTTGAGGGTGTCATTGCTTCAAGAATGTCTGGCAGTTTGTACCTTATATTTGAATATATGGAGCATGACCTTGCAGGGCTGTTGGCTTCACCAGGGATTAAATTCTCTGAAGCGCAGGTTCTTGCTCTTTCTCATTTGAACTTTAACTGCTATAATAATTGATGATGTATTATTCTGTTTCCTGACACAATTTGACTAAAAAATGAAGAAATTATGACAAACTCTAGAGTGGCTATTTCAAGAACAGTTTTGAACTTTTTTAACAATGTCAAGATCCACGGTGAAAACTTGCCTAATTTAATATATTGAAGCGACTATCTGAAAACACCTAATTTACCTCGGACTAGTTCTGTGAAATGGCCTTTTGCATTAACTTCTATTTTCCTTGGTAATCTATAGTACCACCATTTATGGTTTCTCTTTGTTGAACCACCAGAAAGGCAACAAGATGAAAACCTCTAAAATGAAGGAAGTTAGGATATTTTTGCCCTCCCTTAGAGAAGCTTGCTGTACATGCAATGATGGTTTTCTACTGAATTTTTGTCTCTGTGATGCATTCTTGCCCAATTTCAAAGATTTCGCCTTTTTCTGGATATTATTTCTTAGTAGAAAATGAATGAATTTGGCTAATATGTTACTGAAGTTTTTCTTATCATTACAGGCTGATCTAGATTTTTTCCCTGTAGATTAAATGTTACATGCAACAGCTTCTTCATGGACTTGAACACTGCCACAATCGTGGGATATTGCACCGTGATATAAAGGGCTCAAATCTTCTGATTGACTCTAATGGCAATCTCAAGATTGCTGATTTTGGACTGGCAACTTTTTTCTCTTCACCTCAGAAGCAGCCTCTAACAAGTCGGGTGGTTACACTGTGGTACAGACCTCCAGAGCTTTTGCTTGGTGCCACAGAATATGGAGTTTCTGTGGATCTATGGAGCACTGGTTGCATTCTTGCAGAATTGTTTGTTGGGAAGCATGTCATGCCTGGAAGAACAGAGGTAACTCTCCTTTTGTTTTATCACAATAATGCCTTCTTGTATTATAGATTTTGTTAACCATATTGAATCGTTTATTATTGATTCTTGACTCAAAGTAGCAATTTTCTCATGGTGAAATACCCTAAACTATGCATTATGTGACTAGAAGAACACTGACGAAAAAGTTTCCTTTTAATGAAGAAGTATTTCCGCCCAGTGATCATCTCATCAATGCTGTCTTAATAAGCCTGCTGATCAAAAAATCTGTCTTGAGTATTGTCCATTAATGGCACTGTGACCTTGACCACTGCAACGGTGGTTGTATAATTTCTTTTTGGTATGTGGATTTCCTGGTATGCCATTACTTGATTTTGGCATTGTTTAGTTTCAAATTGAGGATCACTGGCAATTAGGCTCCTGAAACTTTTGTGTTTTTACATTTAATGAAATTATCTTAATCCATCATGCTGTGGCTGTTCAGATTTTCTAAAGCCTAGCTGGGCCTACGTTCCTGTCATCTGTTGATTATTATGACTAGGAACATTTATCAAAGAATGTTTGTAAATCTTGGCATTTGGCCAAATTATTTGGGTGTTTTCAGTGTCAAGATCTTATATCTATCATATGTAGGTGGAGCAACTGCATAAAATCTTCAAACTTTGTGGGTCACCTTCTGATGAGTACTGGAAGAGATCAAAACTGCCGCATGCAACCATTTTCAAACCTCAACATCCTTATAAACGTTGTGTTACCGAGACATTTAAGGACTTTCCTTCATCAGCTTTGGCCTTGCTAGATGTCCTTCTTGCTGTAGAACCCGAGGCCCGTGGGACAGCTCTTTCAGCACTTGACAGTGAGGTAATCTGAGCTCTACATTACAATATGATTGCACCTTGTGAATTCTTGTTGAGTCTTTAATGTTTTTAAGTGTGACGCTACTTCAATTTCTATATTTTCACATATGCTGAAGCTGGTATTCTGGTTTTTCTCCCTCTCTTTTTTATTATAGACCTATTCTATTATGCTTTCCCCCTAGGATTCTTGAAGCAGAAGGCATTGTTTATCTGATTATCATATTACAATCAATTACTTGTTAATATTTAGTTTTGGATTTAGAATATAAGCCTCAGCACTTGGCCAAAAGTAAATCCGAGTCCTGAATGTCTGTTTTGAAGTAAAAGTTTAATCAGCTAGTTTAATTATGTCCATGCATGGGTAAATTGATGAAAAATAGGCATGGCCATCACTAACGATGAGGATAGTGATTGGAACAACATTTATGATGGGTTCCCTTTTGGCAGTTTAACTGCCACAAGTTTAAAAAATAGATGCCCTTAATTATCATACACTTCTATTTCTATTGGTGGTATTGTCATGGTTTATGATGCTTATATTAAACTTCTTTGCATTCCTTTCTGTTAATTTGCAACTTGCATGCTTAAATGATTAAATCTCAGGAAATTTTTTCTCTTCTCCAGTTCTTCACGACAAAGCCTCTTGCTTGTGATCCATCAACTTTGCCGAAACACCCACCAACAAAAGAGTTTGACGTTAAGTTTCGGGATGTGGATGCTAGAAGGTAAGGAATATCCCTATAGTATTTTCTCCTGGCGTCCGTCTTTTTGACAAGAGCTGGACGAGGCCTTCTTATTGCATAACATCAAAAGCAGTTAAGCTGCTCCTTTTCCCTTTGTTATTAATAACAAAAAAAAGTAGTTTCTGTGACGAATATAGCTCAAAGTAATGACAATGTTTAGTTTTGGATCACTGTTATGCTTTAATTAGATACTTAACCATGAAACCTGATGACTATTTGTTTAGCTTACATCACTAATATAAACTTGGCAATAAAAAGGAATATAAATCTTGAGCTGGAAAAACACAGACGGTACTTGAATTTCTAATTGATTCAATGATGGAGGAATCCTCATTGAGGATCTTTTATCTATTCACCCAACATTAAAGTTTATTTTTTCTGCACTTTATTTATGCTACCTCTTTATCATCTTGCAACCAGGAGGAGAGCAGCTGGAGGTAAAGGGCGTGGATACGAATCAACTAGAAGGGGTTCAAAAGAAAGTAAAGTCGTGCCAGCACCTGATGCCAATGCGGAGTTGCAAGCATCCATACAGGTAAATTTTGACAATACTTTCCTGAAGCTTCCTATAGTCATATATCTTATGGAGAATTAGTTTCTTAGGTAATGGTTTATCTTTGTTTTATGTCTGATATAGAATCGACAAGGACAGTCTAAACAAATAAGCATTAGTGAAATTTACAATCATGAAGCGGATGGTGTTGCTCGCTCTCCCATTGGGCCTGCTAAAGGAACAGCAAGAAATATTTACTCACATCCTGGCCAGTCGGTGCATCCTATGAACCTTGGATCTTCACATAATATGAATATCAGTGAAACTTTCAGGGCTTCTGGGCAAGATTTTATTTCTTCAAGGCAGGCTGCAGAATTGAGAGCTCAGAGATCTTTCATTGAACAGGGAGCGGTCCTGTTGTCTAGGTTTTCTAATTCAGTTGCAGTTAGAGGTGATTCACAGTTTCATGTTAGCAGTTCAACTAAGCTGAATTCGCACTGGCCAGAGGGGAGTTTTAATGCTAGGCATAACAGTCTGGATGATTCCTCCCACGGTCAATTAGGCAGGCCAAACTTCTCCAATAAGAGGCCTGGTTTGGATTCAACAACGGTAATCTCCATTCTTGTTCTTGCCATGATTCATTCAATTAAAGAAGTTGAAAATAACAACAAAAACCATGACCCCTCATACAGCCATTCCATTTTTCGAGTGAAACTGGACTTTGTGAGCTTTTAAGTTAGATTACCGAAAAAATAATTGGAAGGTAAATGGAAGGTTTATTGCTTACTGCTCTTGATACGAGTGACACTGGCTCTTTCAAAACCCATGGAAGTCTGAATCTCAGCGATGTGCTTGCAAAGTTATTCCATGTATCCCTTGTTTCAGAACAGAGACCTTGAATGGTTATTCTGAGACTTCTCTTTTACTTGGAACTTTTTGTAGATGTGTACTAATCACTTGCACCTGAGACTTCTCTTTTACTTGGAACTTTTTGTAGATGTGTACTAATCACTTGCACTTTTTGCTTGTGGCCTCAGGATTACTCAACAAAGAAAGGCCATGTCCACTACTCTGGACCATTGGTGCCTCGAGGAGGAAACGTTGAGGAAATGCTCAAAGAGCATGAGAAACAAATCCAGCGAGCTGTGCGTAAAGCTCGTTTGGACAAGAACACCAATGAAAGTGGACACACTGAATCACTATTTTATCACGGGAGAATAAATGGTAGATGACCCGGACAAGTTTTGACTGAGCATCGCAAATGATATAAATTGGGGCCGTTCCTATGGGAATACAATGACGATTATGGAATATCAGTGCCCATCAGATAGTTACAAGCATCTCCCATAACTGGCATGACCTTGAACCACAAAAGGGAGATACATGAAACGCCAATCAAATCCATCACTAACAGTGCAGGACAAGACTGGCCTTGGTTTTTTTTTTTTTCCTCGACGCCAAGCATGTTTCTGCCAAATCATTATCCTTGGTCCTAGCAGTGACTGGTTTCAAAGGTATGCTTTTTTGCAGCTGAACATCTGATTTTTTGGATCAATTTTCCCCATTCTGTGGCGAGGCTGCAACAATCCCAATTGCCACTCCAAAATGTTGCTCAAGTTAGCTTTATAACAATACTACACAAGTGTAACATGCCCTTTACTTTGCCCTAGTTGGCACATGATGGATAGCAATATAATGAAGGAAAAAAAAAAGATTTATTTGATCCTGGATTTTTGAGCTGTGTTTCCTTTGTTTCAGTCACTGATACACTGCAGCACAAACTAGATAGGTTGCCCTTTTTCAAGCAGTAAGGAAAAAAAAAAAAAAAAATCAAAACACCCTTGTTTTTATTTTTAAAATTTTAAAACGATGGTATATTATCCATCCGAGCTTACCTAACAATTATGTGTCCTAGATCATGAATAAGTTAAATTGTTATGGTTTTTCAAATTATTTTATATTTGATTATATGATATTAAAGATAAATTCACGTAGAAAAATAATCAATTTTTTTTTTTAAAAAAGACAAATAAATGGTTTCATAAAAAAATTCTTACTAAAATATTTAAAAGGATAATTCAAAAATAAACTGAAATTCTAATTATATTTTAAAAAAGTATTATTTCTCATGAAATTAAGCATTAATTTAATGTGAATATGTTTTTTTTTTAATGATCAAAATAAACATATAAAAAAGATTGATAAAAAAAGAGATTGAATCAAATTACCCAATTTCATATTCCAACAAGTACATCATCAAAGATGAAATTGAAAAGTAAAAAGATTTCATGACAGAAGCCAAAAAAGGACAGGGTTGACACTATAATTTTCTTAAAAACAAAAGGGCTATCATTCTTTATTTATTTCAAATTTGGTCCCCTCAGCAACCCGATGTCTAAATTCCTTCAAGAAAAGACGAAAGCAGCAACAAATGAATTCTTCCTATTCAATCCGTTCCAGGTAGCCACAACACCACCATCAATGTTTTCTAACCACCCCATAAAATATCCTCTGAGAATGCACTGAAGACCACAGCAACGATATTCTTTCCACCAGCAATGTCACAAGTCAGCTAGGATTGAGAAAATCACACGGGATTTCAATCAGTAGTGTGTGTATTTAAGTATAAAGACATTGATTCAAATGATTCATGCAACTGGGACACAACGGAACTTCAAGCTCGAATGCATGCATGCATGTTCATGCTTCTTGCTGCTAACAGGTTCTATGTTTTCAATCTGTCATTGTTTGCCAGAAAATATTAGCAATCACAAAACTGGGGCTTCTTTGATTGTTTAGATTAGAATAAAGGTCATTGTTTTTCAAAAATCCTGTCCCTTTTGTTTTACTTACCTCCTCAGCTTGTCGCAACTTGCAACACTGAAATGCCACAGTAACATCAGTTAACAAAAATATAAATTAGAACGCAGAACATTAAGAAATATACTTTTTTTTTTCTCTTCGCAGATCTCATGCTTTCTTTGTAAAAAGGTGTAGAGGACACCAAATATCAGTTGATCTTCATTGTGTATCAAACAGATTACAAAATTTATACATCTCCAGAACTGCAAGTTATATCTTGACCATGCATAGCTTCACTTATGATACATTAGATTTGGTTTGCAGTTAAAAAATGTACATCCAAGTAGTTTTGAATAAAAATAATGGCAGCTGCTATCCTCACCCCTCTATATCTAGTGGTAAAAGGTCAGAGCAAGTGTAGCAGGCAGTTTGAACCTGCTCATTTGGTAAGCAAAGCCATCATTTATTTTGAAGGTCATGTGAGCATGTGATAGACGTATCCATCATAAAACAAGCAAAGTGTTGAATTGACCAGATGGGGAAAAATCTGTGATATGACAGAAATACACATATATTGACAGTCCTCTACTTGCACAATGATCAAGGAGGATAGCCATATCTGTGTAGAATATCATAAACAGGAAGCTCGGAATGCATCGAGTCATCAAGCATGATCAGATATAGATAAAGCTTAAGGATATTCGTTTCCGTTTTGCTTCTTCTTGATAATCCTATTGTTTATCTGGAGGCGATTCGAGCTTGGGTCTTCTCTTAACAAAAGAGGTGTGAATAATATGAGGTATGTCTTCGCTTGCAAGTAACCTCTTTACAGTAGCTCTCTTGAATTCCCTCTGAAATTTTACTCCTTGAAGACTAGCCTTGGTGAATAAGAGAGAGACTACGGTAGGGCATTTTAATGATCTCCACGGCGCAAACAAGAACAGAAAACCAAAGATTTCTTCTTCGCTCCCTTTTTATTGCCTGACAGCAAAGGTCATGTTCCCAAGTGAGGGTGTTTCCCAGTTTCTCATTTTGGCAGTCAAAAGTTTTTTTATCTATCTCTTTTAACCCTTCCCGCAGAGAAGGAAGAACAATCCCTTTTAGAAAATAGACCTAATAAGACCAGGAAACAGGAATTAGAAATAATTTTAACATCATAAACAAACTAAAAAGAACAGTTTACAACAATCCACCAAACTTGAAGACATACCAACAACAGGGTTGCTTCATCCTAAAACTTTGGCAGCTATTTGGTCTTCATCAAGCATCCATCCAATTCAACGTCCCTTCCCTTCATGTCTAAGCATCAACAAGCAATCACACCACCTTCACCTCTCAAACTCTCTACTTCTCAACTCTCCCTCTCCCTCTTCCAGCTCAAACCTACTCAAATATAATCTTACATGCAGCTTCAAAACCTCACGAGTATCCAAACCCCTTTCATTTTTTATTCCAAATCTGAAAGAAGAAGAAACCTTTTTTGAGTTTCTCCTACTCTATCCCATAGATCAATCCAAAAGGACTGGGAAATATGAGGCCTAAAAGCCAACAACTCTCCAACATTAAGGTGCTCCTCCTTGGTGTCTTCCTTGCTTTCTTCCTGCTTTTTGTGTTACGATCAAGCATGTCGTCTTCCCAGGAAAGTTCATCACCCACCGCTCAACCAAAAACCTCAGATTCCATGAAAGAAGCTAGAGCAACAAATTGCTCACAGGGATGCAGTAAGGCCCCACGCTTCCTAACCCAAGCTCTCATTCACTACACAACCTCAACCATCACCCCACAGCAAACACAGAAAGAAATATCAGTGACTGCCAAAATTTTAGAAAAGAAGTCTCCATGTAATTTCTTGGTTTTCGGCCTCGGTCATGCTAGCCTTATGTGGAGTGCACTCAACTACGGTGGACGAACAGTTTTCCTTGAAGAAGATGAAGCTTGGATTGCTCAAATTAAACGCCGGTTTCCTATGTTAGAGCTTTATCATGTCACATATGACAGCAAGGTGAATCAAGCTAAAAATCTCATGGAAGTAGGCAAGGGGCCTGAGTGCACAGCAATTAGTGATCCAAAGTTCTCTATGTGCCAGCTTGCCTTGAAAGGTTTGCCTAGTGAAGTTTATGAGATAGAATGGGACTTGATAATGGTTGATGCACCAACAGGGTACTATGAAGAGGCACCAGGGAGAATGACTGCCATATATACTGCCGGAATGATGGCAAGAAACAGGAAAGAAGGAGAGACCGATGTTTTTGTGCATGATGTGAACAGAGAGGTTGAAGATAAGTTCTCCAAGGCACTTCTTTGTGAAGGATATATGAAGAAACAAGTAGGGAGGTTAAGGCACTTTACCATTCCTAGCCACAGGGATGCCTTGGACAGACCTTTTTGCCCAGAGTAGATTTTTTTTCTTTTCTTTTCTTTTCTTTTTAATCTCCACTCCTATGCAATTTTTGTGCATCTAAGAACAAACTCGGTATCATTTTCAAAGAACATGCATGGCTTCTGTTGAATGTTGAGTAGGCAGCTAAAACCAAACTGGAAGTTTCTCTCCATTGTGATTGGATTGACATTTGATAAATGGCAGAGCATAATAAGAAGGTACAAAAGATTGAAGTTTCTCAAGTCCAACCAGTGTCTTTTGATAGGAACTCCTCTTATGCCTGATCATTCTCCAAGTATTGATCAAGAAGCTGACCATTTTCAGATGAGACATTCAACTTTTTGTTTTTCCAAATTCATCCATAAAATAATTACCAGTTTGTCCCTGACAAAACTCCTGTCACAGTAGATTTGAAACTATAATTATTTAGAAAAGAACTACAATATAAAAACCTGACAGAATCAGTATTTATAGCTGCGATCAGATACATGTAAAATAAAAGTATCAAAAAAGAAATGCATTACAGAGAAAACAAGAGAGTATAGTAAGGAAAATGCTTTTATAGGAGAAAAACTTGACCCTCTCTGGATTTTCAAAACATCTATACCTGGTTTTTAGGAACCAATAAGAGAAAAATCAACATCTTAGCCAACACAGGATGACAGTTAATTCACTGATAGAAGACCTTTTACAACAGCAATCCAGGAGCAGATTTCTCCAAAGCAAACTGTATTGGAGGGCCGTCAGCTTTGAATTCAAGTAGTGAAAAACCTCTGCACCATATTTCCATGCAGTGTTTGTAACTACCTGTTACTGCAGAGGAAAAGGAAAGCAGGCAAATTTCAGAGCACCATAAAAATTTTGACCACATCACAGCCAAATATGTCGTTAGGATAACTTGCATGTATTTTCAAGCAGGAAAAGCGTTATGATAAAATCAAAATTGAGGTTCATGTATAGAACACTCGCGGAGGTTTTCACTCTGAGACATAATGCTTGCTGTACCATAAGGCTACCTGATTACTTTAAAGAACTAGGTAAGAATTAAGATAATCTACAATCCGGTAAGAATAAGCAAGCTATACGGAGATAATATTTAGCTGGACAAAAAAAGAAAAATCTGTTCCAAAACAGAGACGGAATCAAAACAAGCTGATAATGTCAGCACATGCCGAGGAAGGCATAGGCTGAGCTTTAAATTGACACCAATATAATGTTACCATATATAATCTTAGGAATGTATACAATTTAGGACTCTTAATGTTAGCTATAAAGATTATCTTATCATATAAAGATGCTGATTTTTTGGAAAGGGGTTAGACTCCTTGTATAGCAAAACCTTCTATGTATAAGGGAACTTGGGGGTTGCGGATCCGGAGGACTGCAGTTTTCTTTTGGAAGAAAAACTCTCTTGGTATTTGGTGGTCTGCTGAGTGTATTGTCAGAGAAGAGATTCTGCAAAATGACTTGATTCAAAAACTCTCTTGGTATTCTAGTTTTGGCTGGGTATATTAACATATAACTCATAAGAAGAAATTAACATGCATGCTGACAACTTTCTGCACTTATTTAACAAAGAGGGGCGTATGGTAAAACCAAATAGAGTTAACATCAGAAAATCTATGGACAAACGCATGCATGTGATTATATTAATTAAAGGAAACAGCTTGCTGGCAGAAGAAAGACAAGTCTCGCATCAGCTAAAGCCATGTCCCTGAAGATAGATTTAAATTGCAACTGAATGAGTCCTCTCACTGTATCAAGAAGACAGCAGTCGGATTTCCAGGAGAGGGAGGATTCTGATCCAGTACAGAGGACAAAGCACCAGCTTTGGCTTTAGCATCGTGGTCTGTTGCAGACAATATTTCCACCGACCCCAGACCAATTTGCCTCTTGATCAAGTCCAGGTTCTCCTGAAGAACCTCAATCTCCCCAAACGGAAGCTTCAGATTCAAGGCTTGAGCCCCTATAGCTATAGCTTCGTCCTTTTTTAACCTCAAGAAAGGCATACAAAGCTTTTGCACTTCCTTAAAGTTGGCATCTTGACCAACTGAACTTTTTTGCAGTGCCTCCAATATCTCCTCATCTGGTGCAAAAGTACCTGTTTTTCTGTCAAATTTACTACGAAGTATATTCAAGCACCCTACTTTCCATCCATCATACTCCTCATTCACATATATCAAACTTGTTATCTTCTCTTCAGTTAGTGTAGCAACTGGAGCTGCCTTCTTATTGGATTTCTTTGAACCCGTGATTTGCTTTTGAAGAAGCTTCCTCATCAAAACAATCGAGTCTTGCAAGTACTTGTTGGCAGCCTTAAGAGTTTCATCTGGAGAATCAGCTATAGGCCAGCCTGCATTCACTGCTAATCCGTCCTTCATCAAAAGCTCCCTCCAAACATGTTCTGCATAATGTGGGCAGATAGGAGTAATAAGTCGTGTCTGCACATCAATAAAACGCCATACCAAGCCATGATTCATGCCCCCACTACCACAAGATAACCACAAGCCATGATTCATGCCCCCGCTACCACAAGATAACCTGTACTCGTCTCTGGCAGCTTGGAGATCATAGAATCCAGTCTTTAACGCCTCTCTGAACATGTATTTTTCATAATTCTTTCTTGTCGTTTCAACAGCAATATTTATTTCATTTTCAAACACCCGATCAGCAAAGGTAGATGGTGGACCAGTTCTCAGGGATGCCTCTGCAGCTAGAACCTCTTCAATCCACGCAGTCTCTTTAGTAAGGCGAAGGATAGCAGCATTCGCAGTCTCAAATGCAAAGTTGGCATCGTCCACACCATCTCCAGCATCAGCCAGACTGAACCGAGTAGCATCCGCAGAGAATTCATCAATGGCCTGACGCAGCGTCTTGAAATTTCCTGTAGACTTGGACATCTTCTCAGAATTGAGCATAATGTGTCCATTACACCTGAATCCACGTGGCCAGTGATGCTTAGCCATGATTGCTGTGTGGTTGAAGACGCAGAACGTCAGATGATTCTGAATGAGGTCCTTCCCAGACACTCGAAGATCAAACGGGTACCAATATTCGAACTCCTCCTTCATCTTATCAAGAACAGACGAATCTATTTTTGATGATGTGGGGTATGGACCATCACAGAAGATGAAATTCCAGACATCATCAGTCATTTCTTCAGGTTTAATAGGATGAGCCTTGTTTGTACCGTACATGTCCTCGTTGTGTAGCAAGTGAGCAACAGTGTAATAAGCCATGTAAATAGTAGAGTCAGACAATGATTCAACAAGAAACTCTGGATCCCATGGAATGCGAGTCCCAAGCCCAAAAGATCTTGAGCAAGCCCACCGATTTAGCCAGCCCAAAGTATGCTCAAAGCCATGTTTTGTCTCGTCAGAGTAGAGATTCATCCTGGATAAGCACTCCTCAGCTGATTCCTTCCATTGAGGATCATCATAAGTGAGGTACCACTGGTCCGTCAGAGCCACTACACATTCATCACCAGATCTTGACATGACACGCTTCTCAGGCTCACTGTACATGACTGCCTCACCTGTCTCAATGAGCTTGGTCCTTAACAATGACTTTGCTTCTTGAACTTTCATCCCTGCATATTCTCCAACAAGCATTGTGCCATCAGTAAATCCTTTCAAGTACGTCAACCTCTTAGCTTCGGCAAGCTTCTCTTTCTCATTTTGGCTCTTAATTTTCAGGTCCAAGCAAACCTTTTCAGCAGCCTTATCGCCCAATTCTGGAATGTTGATTATAGGTACAATCTCAAAAGGCACTACCCACTCATCCTTCACGCCATACTTTTCCCTGAAAGCTGGTTTCGCTTTCAAAATCCGCAATGCCATATAATCATCGGGGGCATCGCTAGGCACACTGGTAACAATCCCTGTACCTTTGTCTGTCAGAATGGTCAGCATGGGAAGCGCATAAATGACCTTGTTGAAGGAAAGCGGAGACTTCAATGGCAGACCAATCAGATCATACCCAGTCAGCTCAACCAAGCAACTAGGGTGTTTGGGGGTCTTCGAGAAGCCCTGATAGGCGAGGTTAAGGGCAGCTCTTTCTGTCAGGATGAAGACATCAGTATCATTGACTTCGAAAGCTCCATAATTGCCATCAGGCAGTACCCATGCATTTGTTTGTCCATACATAGTCTCGGGTCTCAATGTAGCAGCAGCTAGAAACACTTTTCTTCCCTCCAATGCTTTGAATTTAAGTGGGAAAGGGGGCAACACTTCCATCTTGACAAGAGTGTAATCTTGGGGCAACACACCTTCACCGCTTGCCCTGTCATGATCTGCACATGGTTGGTCATCCAAGGGAGAGTATATAGTGTATCTTTTATCTTTGATAATCTTCCCCATGTCCCTCAACTTCCTCATCTGCCACTGCACAAATGAATCAAAATATGGATTCATATCTGTCGTAATAAACGATCTTCTCCAATCACATCCCAAGCCAAAATCCTTCAGATCTTGCATGGCCAGTGGCGGAAAGTAAGCAAGCCATTTTCCTGGCTTCTGGAACTCAGCTATTTCACTGTCAGACAGCCCAAAACTGCGCATAATCTCCCACTGAAACATCTGTCCACCTGATTTCGACACAGCCTTGGACTTTTTGCCCCTGAACTGATCTGGCGGTGGACCTGCACTTGCATCCTCAGGCTCTGGTTGCGATTCCACTGGCTCCTCTACCTCTTTCGAGAACAAGGGTGGATTGCCAAACTTTTCAATCTCCCTTGCAAGCTTATCTGCTGAGGCCTGTATAGGCATACCGGTGCAGTGAAAACCAAATGGAAGGAGCACGTTAGCCCCATCCAATCTATGGAAAGCAGCAGCAAATTCAAGCTTGGAGAGCGAAAACGCATGTCCAAGATGCAAGAACCCATTCATATACGGAAATGGGAAGTTGCCAAAGAACTTCTCGCCTGGTTTAGCTGGCCCCGCACCAGGTTCAGCCCGGAAAGCATCTTTCTCATCCCACCAGCCACGAACCTTCTTCTCTATCTCCAACAGCCGGTCCCTCCTTGTGAAAGCTTTTCCACTCTCGGTTGCCATCACACAAAATCGACAAGTACTGCACTCAGGAAAACATAAATACGACACCTCAGTCAAACACCTAAAATCAAACCCCATGAATGAATATCAAATTGATATAAACTTAATTTACCACATGCAGTCAAATCCCAAAATTTCTCAAAAACCACATAAATTCATTCCCTTTCAAAACTTAAATTACAAGAGCACGTAAAAGACCAAAAACATTAAGAAAGAAAACCCAACGCCGGCAATATATTTTCATGGCTCCATCATGAACTTGGAAAATAGCCAGAGCTCATCATACACATATCAAAGAAAAAGAAAAAGAAAAAAAAAACAAAGAAGAAGCCAACCTTCCAATAAACTGAATTAGCTAGCCCACAAAATATAAATGATAAATTATACCTTAAAGCGATAAAAATTACAACTTTACAAGAAATAAAGGAAACCCGGTTCAGCTTTGATCATCCAAGACAAGCATGCACGACAAAATAGAAAGGAAAAAAAAAAAAACAGTGAGTACGTACCTGTTTTGCTTCAAGACAGATCGCAGAAACAAATTCAGAGGAAAGACTTGAAGGTTTTGCTTATGAAGAGCCAGAGGGCCAAAGAGAGACTTTATAAACAAATGCAGAAGTTGCTTGGAGAGCAAGGATTTGACAGTGGCTTTGCTGCTGAGAAGAAGAATAACGCTATAGGCTGTCTGTCGGGTTCAGAGAATCCAGGTCGCTCAGCTCACGGAATCTGACCCGATGGAAAACTAAGTCCACCAAATTCACGTGTGATTTCAATTTAGTACCCAAATTTATACATCACGCAATTTATATTGCCCAATGAGCATGATTTTAAATTTTTAATCGAAGAAATTATCACACAATGGATGAGGTTGAAAGAACTTCTATGTATCAGTAAATTTGTTCACGTTATCTTTAAAATTAAATTTGGAGTAAGAACATTTAGCCATTTGTTATATAATTGTGCATTTAAAAAAAAACATTATTTTTTATGTTTTATTATATGAATCGTGATCTTCACCGCGGAGACAAATAAATAGCTAAATACTTTTATTAATGTGGAAAAGTTGGAAAAAAAAAAAAACAAGGAAGAATAGGATTTCTATGGAGATGCCTCAAATGTAGTCCTATTATTATCCTTTGATATCCAATTAGATCCTTGATCCAAACTATTAATTTTCTATTCAACTTTTAAGATATTACAGACTCAACTTTGATCTATAGGGATAATCATAGCTTTTAAAAGCCATCTTTCATCAATTTGTATAAACTAAAATAATAAAATTAAAATAATATCTTAATAAAAAAAAATAAAAAAAAACAATGTTTGGCGCCCGCTTAACCTAGATTTTTAACACAACCAACTAATTTTTATAATTTATTTTTAATTTGAACGAATCCATATATATATTGACTAATATGTAAAATGAGTTAAAATACATATAATTTAGTATAAATTAAAAATAAAATAAAATAAAGCTGATCTACTAAGCCAGAATAGATTTTAAAACAATGAGTACAATTATATTAAAATCATAATATTATACACCGTGCTTATTAAAGACGCTTTTTTTTATATATTTATTTATTTATTTGGGTGGTTCCTCCCGGTATCTGTGTGCAGAAGAATGATATGAATCACGACGTGAAGTATATATGCTGCGGGAAAATGATAGTGCGGTCCATCAAGCAACCACGGTCTCCTCAACTCTATCCCCTTTCTTTTTCTTTTTCTTTTTCTTTTTATTCTTTTTTGAGATTCTCAGCTTCTTTTTCTTTTTTTTCCTTCTATTATACAGGTTTATGGTAAGATAAGATGCTGCTGACGAAATTTTATTTTGCTGGAATCAACATGTTTGTGTTGGAAAAAATTATTATTTGATATTTTTATTTAATTTATTTTAATAAATTAATCTTGAAATTTTTTTATTTAATTTTAATTTAAAATTAAATTATATAACAATTAATTTAATATAATTTATTTGACTTAGTTAGTCTAACCAACTGATTTATAAATAGAAAAAGTTAAAAAAAAATAAAATTAACAACAACTTATTGTTTAGCTCAAACTTAAAATTAAATTATGCATGATTTCTTCCAACTTACTTGATCCAAAGATAGCTTCATTGATAGATAAAAAATACTTGATAATAAAATTAAAAACAATTAATAAAAAATACTTTGCTTTTTATTTCATTCAAATTTAAAATTAAAATTTATAAAAAAATATTATAGTACAATGCAATCAACTTGTTTCCAAAATGATTCATCTCTGTATTAGTACTTGGCTGAATAGTCTACAACAACAATATAATCATAGTTACTTTTTAAAATGATTTTTATTTAAAAATTTATTAAAATAATATATTTTTTAAAAAAAGATAAAAAAATTAAAAATTAAATTTTTTTACATACATTGTTAAAACACAAAAATAAACATTAACTCACCTCTACATGATTTCTTATTTGAATTCCAAGTGAGTGGGCTAAGTGAGGCTCAAAGCATGACCAAAGGAGAAAAGTATAAGTTTCTAAAGACTTGAAATACCAAATTTTAGCAAGAATTCTATCCATGGCATCTAGGGCACTGACATTCGTTATATATAATTAGAATTATGTTACAAACAATGTTTTTTTTTTTTAATTGTTTTAATATACTGTATTTTCGAATGGAAAACATCATAGAACTCGAATGGAAAACATCAACAAGGGGGGATTTTATTAATGTAAAGTACAAAATTATAATCATAACTACAATCAAAACCTTAAACCAGATATCAGCATGGATTAAGAATGCAAAACCAAGTAAAAGAGACCAAACCAGGATGATTGTCATGAAAAATAAGAGAAAAAGCGTGGAGGTAATGGAATAAGAATTCGATCAAACCACACACTGAGACTAGCAGTACCCGCCATGAAAGAAGGTTTAGAGGAAGGTTCCCAGCATCGACATAATGCAGCAAAAGGAGGTGAATCGAAACCCACCATCATCACCACCTTCCTCGTCAGCAACCCGAGAGCATGCCACTTTTTCTTCCTGCCGCGCCTCCCTCCATCCCTCCTCCCTTTTCGTTCTATCCGCTTCGCCCTCCCTTCTCTCCTTCCTCTCCCGTGTTATGTTTCAGAAATGGGACAGGTGACTGAGAAAAGAGGGAAAAAATATGGCTGCCATGCTTCCACGTCTCCTAAAGGCAGAAAATGTAAAAAATAAAAAAAAGCTAATAACACTGTGTATCATGTCTCTAGGTACACGGTAATTAAGCAACGCCTCTTAGTGTTTTTGTTAATTGTTAACGTTAATGTTAATCGTTAATGATAGAGTAGTGGTGGGCGCTCCTTGCCTCGATATGTGAGACAAGCTCCAAAAATCACACACACAGACTCTCTCTCTCTCTATCTCTCTCTGCTTTTCCCATTTCTTCATCAAAGAGAAGCTCCCAAGAAAGATACCCCCATCTCATTTTTTCCCTCCCTCCCTCCCTTTTCATTCTATCCGCTTCGCACTCCCTTCTCTCCTTCCTCTCCCGTGTTATGTTTCAGAAATGGGACAGGTGACTGAGAAAAGAGGGAAAAAATATGGCTGCCATGCTTCCACGTCTCCTAAAGGCAGAAAATGTAAAAAATAAAAAAAAGCTAATAACACTGTGTATCATGTCTCTAGGTACACGGTAATTAAGCAACGCCTCTTAGTGTTTTTGTTGATTGTTAACGTTAATGTTAATCGTTAATGATAGAGTAGTGGTGGGCGCTCCTTGCCTCGATATGTGAGACAAGCTCCAAAAATCACACACACAGACTCTCTCTCTCTCTATCTCTCTCTGCTTTTCCCATTTCTTCATCAAAGAGAAGCTCCCAAGAAAGATACCCCCATCTCATTTTCCATTTCCGTTTGGATCCCAGTTATGAGCAACGAATAGTAAGCCATTTTCTCTCTTTTAATACTTTCCCTTTTCTTTTTCTTTTTCGCTTACACAATCTTTTTTATTTTATTTTTGTAGTGATTATCTGTTTAAGCTTTTGCTAATCGGAGACTCATCTGTTGGGAAATCGTGTCTGCTTCTCAGATTTGCTGTAAGTTGAGAATTATCAATTATAGCTATCCATTATGTAATTCTTTTTTTTTTATTAATGTGATTACGGGGAAGAACGGTTGATGCTTTAGTAAAAAGAGCTTAATTGGGTTGCTAATATGTTGTAAACTTTAGTGGGTTAGAGAGTGATTAGGAGATTATTTATTGTTTAATGGGCTGGAGATTAGTGTTTAAATTTAACTTGGTTTTTTATTTCATAATTTCTCAGGATGACTCTTATGTAGACAGCTATATCAGTACCATTGGTGTTGATTTTGTAAGTCTCTGTCTACTGTATATGTCTCTCCGGACGTCAATTTTGATGGTTTTTTAGTCTTAAAGTTGTTGGTTATGTTGTAGAAAATCAGGACTGTGGAGCAGGATGGAAAGACAATCAAGCTGCAGATTGTGAGTATAGATAGCTGCTTTTTTCTTCGAATATGGTCTTTTGTCTTGTTGGTTTTTTGTTTAATATTGAAATGGAGATTAACGGTAATCCCTAACTAGATAGGTGCACATCTGTCTATTTGGAACAAATGGTTGAAATGGGTATTTGGAAATTTAGTTGACTAATGTTCTCGTGTTGGGGTCGAATGGTTCACTTGCATGCAGGAATTAAGATGTTTACTATAATGAGCCAGGCAATATTTAAGTTAAACATATAAAACCCCATGCATGTTGTGTGTCTGAAAAAATGGTGCATATTTCAGAAGCTTCAAGGACTATTGCCAATGTTGTTGGTTGGAATTATAATATTTATGTAATATAATCATTGTCACAAATATGTATCATCTTTCCTTTTGTGTTCAAATATGTCTCTTTGTGATTACCCTTAAATTTAACTTCGACATTTAATTTGCTTTTGAAATTTCAGTGGGATACAGCTGGACAGGAGCGCTTCCGGACCATAACAAGCAGTTATTATCGAGGAGCACATGGAATAATTGTGAGAATTTCTCCTATTATGTTGAAATATAGAAAAGTCGTGTACGCCTGCACAACAAACATACTGATTATGTGTTCTTCCTGATGAACTGCTTTTACTGATTTCTGAAAGCAAACTCTTATGCTTTGGGACACTGTGCCATGATTATGCGCATTTTATGTTGATACAATTTCAAATCTCACTATGCTATATGAAGTCATGTTCAAGAATCTGATAATTTGTGTCCCATGGGATTGCAACAGATAGTCTATGATGTTACCGAGATGGAGAGCTTCAACAATGTCAAGCAGTGGTTGAATGAGATTGATAGATATGCAAATGATAGTGTCTGCAAACTTTTAGTTGGAAATAAGTGTGATCTAGTTGAGAACAAGGTTGTGGACACGCAAACAGCAAAGGTATATCCTTTTAAATTCAGTTATCTTTGATATGATATTAAGTTTTCCCGAGGGCCTGTCTACTGTTCCAAGTTTCTTCTGGCCAAGTTTGCTGAACCATCAGGGAAGATCTTGTGCTGAGTTAGGACTGAGGACCAGCTGTGCTATATTCAATAACCCAGTCCAGCGAGTTATTTTCTTTTACTTTTAGTGATGCCCTGCATATGCACCGAGGGAAAGTTTTCTCTTACAGTTTCAATAAGACATAGATAAAAGTTTGTTGAAGTGAGTATTCCTTGAAGGGATATTTTCATGTAATCTTGTCTAGTTTCAGTTATAGGTAGGCCTCTGTTTTTTGCAAAACCTGGGATTGATGGTTCTCAAAAATGTGTGGAACTAGAGCTTTCTTGCATAAAACTGGCCTTATCCTTCTTAAGATGATGGCATAATGTTGATTGACATTGTCATTTTCAATCACATAGCCATATTGAAAGTTTGCTTCTGTATGCAACGAGGGAAAGTTTTTCTTACAGTTTCAATAAGACAGATAAAAGTTTGTTGAAGTGAGCATTCCTTGAAGGGATATTTTCATGTAATCTTGTCTAGTTTCAGTTATAGGCAGGCCTGTGTTTTTTGCAAAACCTGAGATTGATGGTTCTCAAGATGATGGCATAATGTTGATTGACATAGTCATTTTCGATCACATAGCCATATTGAAAGTTTGCTTCTGTGCATGTGTCTTCTAATATAAGAAAAAAAGAAAGCTTCCTACAGATGTATGTAAATTAAGCTGTTTCTTTTACATTTACCGGTGATGCAGTGGCAACTTTTCTAGTTGAATATCAGATGGCTTAATGCAATCTTAGCAGCTGAAAGAATAATGATAATATATTGTTAAACCTGAGAGGCTTTCCAAAGGATTTTATTTGATCGGATAATGGTTTCTGTTTGTAAATTGATCCTTCTTTCTTCTACCTGGATAAACTGCAGGCATTTGCAGATGAGCTTGGCATTCCCTTCCTAGAGACAAGTGCTAAAGACTCGATAAATGTGGAGCAAGCATTCTTAACCATGGCTGGTGAAATTAAGAAAAAGTAAACCACAAATCAACTTGTTCCTGCTGTTCTTAATTGAAGTTCAATTTTTTTATTGATTGCACATGCGTGTTCTTAGTAATTAATAATTTTTGTTTTACTCTCATGTTATCTCAGTTAGCTATTTTAGATTTCTTAATTTTTCCTCTACTTTAATAGGAATGAATCATTATATGTAGAGGATGCAATCTTTTGACACCCTAGCCGTTGTCGACAGTGTAGATGTCTTGTTCTATGTGCACCCTTAAACTAGAAAGATCAGCTATTTTAAATTGTCGATAGTGTAGATGTCTTGTTCTTACTCAATCTACGTTTCCTCACTTCTGTTTTGTTGCATAGATAAACCGGGATGATTGTCATATTATTCATCTCCCATGCATTATTTCTGCCAAAGTTGCTTCGATTTGGTTGCTGTGATACTGTGTATGTTGCACGTGTGATTTCATGGAATAAAATTAAACATTGTTCTCTTACTAATAAACATTCTTCTTCTTCTTCTTTCTCTTTCTACTAACTCTAAGATTTTTTGCAGGATGAGTAACCAGCCAACTGCTAACAATTCAACAGGAACTGTTCAGATGAAGGGGCAGCCAATCGAGCAGAAGAACAACTGTTGTGGTTAGCTATTGGCGTGTACTTTTAATGGTGCACCAAGGTTTTTAGGCAAAAACATGCTGTTGACTTGGTAATCATATGGATCTCCCAGAAACTGCCAATAATGCTGTGCTTGAAGTTGTCCATCTGTGAAAATTCTTAAGTTTTATCAAAGGGATCCGGATTCTATTGAAATGTAACCGAGATGTTAAATATCTGAAAAAAGTCAACTTTTTATCTATCAGAAACAGGAAAGTGACTGCAAGGGAACGAATGACAAGCAAATTGGTTGGGAGATATCTCAAGCAGTGTAAATGGTGTTTATTCAAATGCTATTACATGTATCTTATTAATGCCAAATCTCCAGATAAATGTTCTAAAAACTAGAGCTATGGCTTCTTAAGTTTGTAGAATTGAACAGCAGGGTAGGCGCAGTGGAAAAGCTGGCATCTAAATGTCCATTGTGTGCAATTATCTCAGGACTATGTATCATTTGTGCTGCCATTCCCTTCCTCGGCTATTGCATTACGAAACTATGGAAATGAACAATCAACTGCTGGGGAGGAAGAAGAATTCAGTTTACGATTGGATGTTGGCTTTGCCATGCACATTCCCCTCCACTGCCCTGCTTCCATAAAGATGCTATGGGATGTCTACGGTTGCGGAGCAAGGCATTCCCTTCGTCTTCGAAGTTGGAATGCCTAAGGAAACCACAAAGTGCTCTCTCGTCTTCGAAGCTGGAATGGAATGCCTAAGGAAACCACAAAGTGCTCAGTTGCATAAGCCATGAAGCACATATTAGGTAACATCATGGCAATCAACAGCTAATGCACTGACCAACCATTGCATTCTCCACGATCATTAACAAAGAGATCTTGAAGCAAATCACAAGACGGTAAAAAACTAAACTTTCAATATATCATGCAAAGGGATATGAAATTCAACCACAACAAGTTCAAAAACAGAAAAATCAGGGGAAAAAAAACAAGGGAAAGCAGATGTAAATCAAATGAACAAGAAGAGGTGGGAAACTACCCACAACTACACACATATCATCTTCACTAAGAAGAAGAGCAGCAGGTGGTCTTTTTAGTGCTGGGATCAGGTCCTCCAACTACAATGGTCTTCCCATCTTTGACAGTCGCAGGTGCTGCTGACTCTTCCGAAGAAAGTGTCTTCTTACTAATAATCCTATATATCTCAGAAAGAATTGTTTGAAAAGCCTTGTCAACATTGGTAGCTTCAAGAGCAGATGTCTCTACAAAAGCAAGCCCTTCTTTCTCAGCATAACTTTGAGCATCCTCAGTAGCTACTGCTCTAAGATGTTTAAGATCAGTCTTGTTCCCAATTAACATGATCACAATATTGGAATCTGCATGATC